TGGAAAATTTAAGGAGTTATTATTATGTACGTTTAGATGATACAACCGGTAGGATACTTTTGCACGTTACTGTAATTATAAGAACAAAATTAACAATTTTAAACCAAGCGAATTACCAAGTCTTCTCTCACAAGCTCAAACGTCAACTTGACAAATCATTTTTGAAGAATGCATTCCTGTCTCATTCCTATTTATCGTTCGATTATTTAAACAGTAATAGTGAGACATTGAACCAACAATCCAGTACACCAGTTAACCAAACAGGGAACCCAAATCCAAAATTGGTCACGTCTTTGTATAGAATTATAACGCAGTCTCTTGTATATATTTTTTTGATTAGCCAATCAAATTTTATGCATTATTACATTTTTTTATCCAGATTTTTAATTGGTACTTTTTACATTCTCTATTATGTCTTGTTTTTGATTTTCTTCTTGCATCAAAAATTGCGTCTACTACTCTGATCTTTTCCTCTAATATATACATATCGACGGTAATGCTACCATTACCCGAATCCCTCTCGGTCTGATCATCGAGTTTGATAATAGCGTGCCGTGCGTAATTGTCCTAACCGCTTTCAATAATTCGACTCGGAAACTGATCACTTCTTTGGCCGTTCTTACATAGACACTGATGATACACTGCACAGTCCAACAAGCTAATCGGAGTTGTCGATACACGGTTTAACCCCATCCGTGGTTTCATTTACTATTACGGTGGATTGCTGAGTATGGAACATATTTGCAAAAGAATGATAGAGGACGTGGGATAATCATGCCTATAATACTCAGCCTCTGTGAGAATGTTGTGATTAACATCCATTGCAATCAAGTCACACAAGTATGCAAGACAGTGATCAGCAGGTGCCAATCATCGGTGTTACATTAGCCTATTCCAATTTAATATTTATCACATTCTCTCACTTATTTTTACAATGTATATGCACAAACACACTCCTACTAATCATCTGACTCTAAACCCCTTGAGTCAGTCATACGTGATCAACGAGACAATCTCATCACTCTAACGTTCAATCAATCCCACTTCCTTCTTCGTTCACACTTAATCATTATACATTTCCAAGAACTCTCGCATTATTACAAACAGCTTCAATATTATTCGCACGTACCTGCACATACAATCATCTCATCGACAACAAGGGTAAATTGCATTTTTCACCTTTGACCTTTCTTCGTTTCTCCCTTTCTTTCTACTTTTGCTATCATTTCTTTCTATCGTTCCCTTATTCACCCATTCAATTTTACATTTAATTAAATAACTCCCATTTGTCTTATTCGCCCTCCTTATTGTTACCATCCCTATCTCAACTCCAATCCTATATCCTGTTTTTCGCCTATCCGCTCTTAGATAGTTACATAAATAGAAACGCCAGCACCCACTCAAATGAAACCACTATTCACCTCTCAAACTGCCACACCAACTCACTCAGCAAATCCCAACTCTAACAATTGGGATTTACTTTCCTCCTCGTTCTATCATACGCTAGCAAATTCACTGCCCTTTCGACTGTTGGTGGTTGGAAGTCAAGAGTTAAATAGTGCAAATTATTATCTCTATTATTTATCGCCGATATACTCGAATTTGAAGCAGTTTAGTATTACGAACTTGTTATTGGCGTACACACTACCATTATTGTATATATTTTCTCCGACGCTGGTAAGAGAGCGGAATAGGTTGGGAGGAGTGAAAGTGTTAGTGGGTAGACTTGAAATTAGTTAGCTGTGATGACGATTGTTATAGCAGCAATCAGAGTAATAGTAGAAGCATGCACCAGAGTTTGATCAGGCATATGAAGGACATCAAGACACCAACATCACCTGCATGTGCTGCGTACGCTCAAAAGTCACATTCACCATTATCACCCAACAAAATATATTCGGCGCGCGATCGCTTGTTTGCTTCAATTATCACTCAATAACAAACTCCAAATCAGAGGCGATATGTGATTATTTCCATGTGGATGAGGTCACTTTAAAAAAAAAAAAAGGCAACAAAAATAAATACGAATACGAGAGATCGATACTGATAAATTTTTTCTTTCTCATCACTTTTCCCTCCTTATTTCTACTCCCGTGACCCATTTCTCACATTCTTTTCCAACTTTTTCAAGATTGTCCCGGCAATCTTTGTCAAATCACTGCAATTTCTTGCATCAAAAACCGCATCCATTTCTTCTACCATTTCCCTTCATAAAACCTCATCCACAGCTTTCTTCAACGTGTCTTCTCTGACGAACAATATCTCTTCCGCTTCCTCATCGCCTCGGAGCGATAACGGTGGTGGGAGTGATTTGAGTGTACAGGATGTTGAATACTGGCTACAGAGATGTTCGATTTGTTTTGACGCACAATTGGACTTTTGCTTGGACTTTTGCAGGGATCAGTTTTGTCGCGAATGTTTTCAGAGGTCAGGTTTCGAGGCAGAGGGGCGATGGGAGTAAATTAGAGAAGTTTTAGATGAAGAGAAGGAAACAGTATTCAGGATCTGTTACGGATTAGTCTTTCTAAAATCAATATATTAACCGAAAACAAAACCATTAATAATTTGCAGATATGTAAAAGAGGTAGTGCAGAATTCATGGGGACTAAGCGTTACCAAAATCAAATGTCCAGTGTGTCAAGACGTTATTTCTCAGTCAGAATGGAGCAGAGTAAGAGATTGTGCAATGGATCTTTTATCATGTCATTGATTTTTAGCAATCACATTGATTTGTGCTCGATATTACTTCTTTTAGTACGTTGACCAGAGCATTATAGACTTATACAACACATACAATAAACCATATCGCTCATTCTCCAGGTGTTGTGGAGAATGTGGCGAAGAAGTTTTTGCAGCCAGTGTGGTACATGCATATGAAGAGGAGAAAGCGAGGTAAGCTAACCAGTAATTGATCATAGACAAATTAAGCAGATTTTGGCGCATTTGGGAAACACGAAACGGATGCTTTTTTTTTTTTTTGTGATTTTTTCTTTTTACACGCAAAATTATTATGAATACTCTTTGATTCTTAAATTCTCCAATCATTCCTCACCCGAAATTAGACATTTCCATGAAATCTCCTATCTCCTTCACCAGTTCCTTCAAACTTACATTTCACCTACAAGACAAACTCAGACCAATATTCATTACGAAATAAACCAATTCGTGTCCCGCTTCAAAGCTGATTACACCGCTTATCTTGGAGGGACAAGCGTGAATTACGGTGTACTCGAGATGTATGATTACATTGCAGAAAAGTTGGGAGAGTGCCTCGGACTGAGGTATGGAAATGATATCAGGATGACGTTTGATTGAGATTGAGGTTTTTGGGATTGTATGAAACGGGCTTTGTGTTAATAATTCAAAATTGTGCTGGTAGATTGGACGGTAGCGGGGGACAAGTTCAATCTAAAATGACAAGAAGAAGATCAAAGATATATGGGGACATGGTTAAAGCAGCAGCAGAAATTTCAGCTAGGCTCGTTGCGTTGGAGGCTAGACCCGATCCATGGAGACAACTGCAGTTTTTGCATATTGCGAATTTTCCTCAGTCGCGATGGTATTGTATTTTCGTCAGACGTGTAGTATTATTCCCTCCTTCAATGTTTTAATCTTTATGTTTGTTCGCAACAATCTGTGCACTCTTGCCTTGTATTAGCACTCGTTGTACAGCTGATCTCTGTTTACAATGCGGTGAATCGTCGCATCACGTCGGAATGTCTTGCACTCAGTTCATGCGTCACCGTGTCTCCAACTCTTCGCTCTTTCTCTCATCCACGCCTCATACGACTCCCAACAACTCGCCGGATGCGCTTGAGAATATCAAGTGGAAATTAGCAAACTCGAAATCCTGTCCGAACTGTTCTATCCTGATCAACCGTGATGATGGTTGCAATAAAGTTGATTGCTTGCATTGCGGGTATAGATTTTGTTGGGTTTGTAGGAATGGATGGAGTGAAAAGTGTGGATTTTATCAGTGTCGTATGGGGGGAAAGGTGAAAAAAGGTAAAGGGAAGGAGAAAGGAAGGAAAGTGAGGCGAGAGAACAGGGAAGGGGTTAATGAAAAAAATGGGGTGGATGATGAGAACTACATGGAGGGTTTGATTCGTGATGAAGAGGATATCGGCGATGATGAAGATATGGGAGATGAGTTTAGCGGCGATAGCAGGCTTGATGATAGAGTAAGTCCCAACAAGTTTTTTTATGGATATGGTTTTTCAATTTTGTTCTGTATTGGCTAAACATTATTTGTATATATTTTATTACAAAAGCCTGAAATTGGAGTTCCGAATGTGTTTGTAATCCAGGCAAAGTTCCTGGGCGCAACAAGCACTTTATAAACCATTTCACCTCCATTTAGACATCTAAATAGACTCGAGTCTCCTTCAGTGACGGATATTGCTGGCACATGTCTCTCGAGCATTGTATAATCTCCCTTTGTTATATATATTGTTTAATATGTTTCTTCTCTTTTGTTTATAGTTTATGTTCCTTCCAGGACTTTTTAGTTGTGTGATTGACTGGTTTCAGAGAATAAAAATGCATGATGTGATCATATGGCTATTCAATAGTGTTACCAGGCACGATGTTATTGTTGATTGAGAAGTTGACTATTCGCTCTCAACTTGATTTTATTTTTATCTAGTCTGATCAAAATGTCCGTCTATTAACTCTCCTGGAGTTGGATTTACGATAATTTAAGCGCAGAGTAATGAATGCCTACGAGTTCGGGCTTATCACTAAATACAAGGTCTCTAATGTCAAGTATAGTACTAACAAGCATTTTTATGTAGAAATAAATGGCAACGTAATATGGAAGGAAATAAGGATTATAAACGTTATCTAAAATTGAAGGGATTGTTAAGGATTATTAATGATGTTATAATGCAGAACACCAGATCAATTTGCCAAAATTTAAACCTCCCCTCCCCGTTCTACTTACATAATGAATTATTCTCGTTATATTTTCTGTTAGCATCCAAATCGTTGTGATCGACCGTTCTCCTTGTCAAGTCGTAAGCTATTAATCCAGTCGTAATAATACAATAGATACACAGAACAAGCCTTTGAATGTGGCCATGAGTCCACTTTCTAAATCGCATCAACCTATTCGGAATACTCAACAAGTCTATTTTCTTTTTCTCGTTAATGACATAGCAAAATATAAAGAAGGGCGAGTTCCACAAGGCGGTGAACGTTGCCGGATAACCGCATCTCCTACACTCAAAGGCAATGAGGATTGCTAACAAGGTTCCGACTATAAAGTATAGTACTGCACCACCAAACAGACTCCACGCAAGCCTCGATGCTGCACAGAGGTCGACGTCTGATTGAAAATTCTCCGACTCACATGCATGAAAGAGGAAAATATTTAATGCATTTGGTTGAGCAATGCTTTCGGTGGCTTTGGTGAGTATGTGTCGAGACAGAACTATGGCGTTTGTTACGACCAACTAGGAAATGAAAAGTGAACAAAGGGGTTAGTTGATTGTGTTTGCGTTGGTCAGTGTGGGCAATTTATACCGAAGAAGGAAAAAATCTTGCATAACAGTGCATAAAGGCATAAAGATAAACAACGCCAATTATCAGCCGATAACTAAAAAATATTTGTTGGAAATTCGCTAAAGAATTTCTAAAAGACGTAGTTTCCCACACAGTTCTGTCTGCATCGAGTATTCTTGCTGTCAGCTGATGATCATGATATATATCGATCATTCCATGCTTCTTTTTAACCTAAACGTCCTCCCCCCACATGAAGGGCTACTACGTAGAATTCCTACGTAGAATTCCATGTCCTCCTCTCTTTTTAAGATACTTACTTCCCAGAATGGCACAATCCGTATTAAGGTCTCAGCTTGCGTAATAACACGTCCATATTCCGGGTGTCTATATTCAAACCCGCGTGCGTCCGTGTTAGTCATTAGCGGACCGCCTGCCTCCGACGCAACATTGCTACCACCGACGAGGTTGTCTGTGCTGTATTGACGGTTGAGATTAGTGACCGACTGTGGTGTCGAGGGTGGTTGTCCCTGGACATTGTAGGGACGAGCGGGAGTGCCGTATGGATTATTGTACGAGTTGTCGGCTGGTGGGTAGTTTCCTTGCTGGTACGGATAAGACATTGTGATGAGAGGTTGCTAAAGAATGTACTAAGGATGCAAAGGATTAAACAATAAATTGTTGTGAGGCTTGGAATGTGGAGAATAAAGTAGCATGTGAGTCGGTGGAACAAATGTGGCAAGCAAAAAGTGATGAAGAAAACCTGATCCTTGTGGAGCCACATTTTTAAATGTACGATTGTTTTCCAAATAAAAGTTTTATTAAATATGATTAAAAAATATATTAATACTCAACAATATCTCATTTGTACCGTGTATAAAAATATAAACCATTACTAATTTCTACTGATCACTCAATTGGTTATGTCATTCTCCTTTTTTGTACTCAGCGCCACGACAGTAGAAAAGTGTTCAGGAACAAAAAGATTACATATCTCATGTTTCTTGGCACTTCCATATAGTACTACTTTCCATATGACCAACTCAAAGTGTTATATATATACGACCGAGACTGAATTTTTATCTTGTAGGAAACCCGTACGCATAAAAAACAAACCCTCTATTCTATCCTCTCTACGTTATCCAACCTAGAAAAGCTTAACGAACTAAACAGAACACACACACAGCCTTGCATATAACTTCTCTCGAGGCTTTGCTTGTAACCAATAACCAATACAATACAATACAATACAATACAATACAATACAATACCAACAACAGCATTACTTCTTCTACACCTCGCCCTCAACATGGCCCCAACTGCAACTGCCTTTTCCACAGCCTCATCAGAAGTTGTCACGAATTCTCTTACCATTAGTAGCCTTGTAGAGGAAGCATTCTATATAGAAAACTTGGAAGAGCTAAGGGCTCAACTAGAAGCCCATGGAAAACTGTACAAATTCGTACCCGCAAAAAGTATCAAGCGGATTTTTGTTGTATATTATAACACTGCAGAGGCCAAGACTGCAAAGACATATTGTGATAGAAACATATTCTTAGGAAAAGCCATGCGGGTCTACTTTGCCCAGGTAAGCGCTAGTAAACTTTTAAATTGGGAGAACCTTTCCTGATCAAACGGTTACTTCCAATCGCTACTTACCATATTTATCCTATTGATTACCATTTATGTCATGTTACGCACACATGTTTCTCATACCCTTTGTCTCTTATTATTATTATTTGACTACAGCACACGACAATCTACGACGATTCAAACAATTCGAGGCATCTTGCTGTGCCCCAATTAGACAGAAACTATCTTATATCTCCGCCATGCTCGCCACCACTTGGATGGACATCATTGCGCGAAACTGGTCCGAATTCAACGACACTCGCTGATGACCTCTCTCATGCATTTGCTCGATTATCACCAAATAGTCTGATTCCAAGAATCATTGACGATGAAGACTTGCACAATTTCTCCTTGGATGATGGTAATAGTATGGAAGAAGTAACGAGTATCGATAATAATGACGTATGTTGTAACGCATGTGAGAAGAATCTAGCAGCTCCGGGCTTGATTGTGATTTCAACAGACGACAACTCGGACAGCGAAGTGACAACGCCAAAAAATGATTTATCCGTTCCTGCAATATTAATTCAGGACTGGGACACTCCCTTTTCTGTACCAACGATCCAAGCATCTGCTCGTTCAATGGGGTTACCCCAGTCATCAAAAGCATCACTTTCTCCTGCTTCTTTAAATCGACATCCTATGGTTACACCACGTCCTCGGATAATTCCTACTGCACGACCACCCAACTATTAGAATTTTTTAGATCAAAGAAGGGAAAGAGAGACGCAGCTGTAGGCTAGAATGGTAGAAATGCTTGAAGGTGGCGGAACCGCCGACAGCGATCGGGTTATATCGAACAAGGGAGCAGAGCTTTCTTTGGTTTATAACCACAGTCAACTTTAACTGTAATTATTGTAGTTAGTGTTTATGGTTTTCCACTTGTTACCAAGCAGAACTATACAATGTGAGGGAACAAATTATGTATATTGGTTTTTTAGAGCCAGGCAATTTTATTTCCCGTAATTGATGATTGCTTCAATCAAGCCACTTGCTATTTCGAGTTTCAAATGAAAATAAAAAAGCCTGCTCATAATGAACGGTTTTTAATTTTGTACACTCAAACGATAATTTATTATTGGTTATAAAATTGGTAATGATATCGGACGAGCGAATGTTCCAAAATGGTCATATGTTCAGTATGGAATAATTAGGCAATTGTTCCGAAACCATATTTTAAATTTCTCCGCAAGAGTTTCATGACGACTTTTTACCTACTGGGAAATCGCAAAAGAGAGAGATTTACGAGCCAGGCAAAGGGATTTCTGTAACGACAGTGATCGGGGACCCATGCGTTGTCTTTTTCTAGCATTGTTTGCGTCTGTCTTTTGCCGGTCTTTGGCAGTTATAGGTTGAAACACAATTTAAGCATCCGTAGTTGGTCATTATTTAATGCATTATCATTATTCTAAACGTTTGGTTCATCGACAATGACTGCTGACTTATACAGTCGCATTTTTGTTTGCGCGTTAGTTTATCTTGTTTCTCAATATTGCTAAACTATAACATATTGGTAAATTTCGTCCGATGCAAATCTCTCGTTTTAGCCAATTTAAAATATTACATAATCTAAAATAGTTGCAATCTTACAAATTAGGTTATTGTGCAAGCGATTATATTTTAGCAAACCTTGTTCACGATTACAAAAAGAGGTTATATTGCACAAAGAACAAAAGCGTACAGGGTTGATACAGATTGCATGCTAAGTACGTGCATGGTGAAGTTGTGACACAATGAAAATCGCTTTATAATAGTGAACTCGTAATAGCAAAATAGCTGACTGGTGGCTAATCACGATACAGGAAGTTTTACCATAATAGGCGTTGTGTCACCAACAGTGTTAAAGACAACGCGTTTATTAAATGACGTATTTTAAATTGAACACATTCATTCAACACACCATCACCATCATATGGTTTGTAAATTTAGTACTCGCAACAAAACTGGAATTATATCAATCGTTCAACGACAATATCAAAAGTAATTTGTGACATTGCATATTTGTTCAAGATACGACGACCAATCGTTTTACTTTTGATTGATTGCATTACTTATCTTATTAGGGTGCATGGATAATCAGAATCAAATTCATGTCTTCTCCATCAATTGACGGGGTTGACCGCTAATATTTGGCAAGATTTTGTGAACAGACTGCTTTCTTGCGTCATGATGACAGCATGTTATAGTAATAGGCGTACTTTAGGATTTTAGTTTGCCAGCACGTTAAAACGCCCACTAACGCTTCGGGGTGGGGTTATTTCGTATTAGTATGTAGTAGTTGTCATACATATCAAAGAAAAGCCTACAATTTTCTGGGTTACAACTAGCTCAATTGATTGTTTAGTGCATCGGTTACTGTCCCAAATACTTGGTAATTTTTAAAACTCTGGTGAGCATAAATAAGTCGATAACTCAAATGCTAGATCTAATGATTGCCTTCTAGCATAATCAATGGATAAGATCGAGTTGCTCGTTTTTAATAACAATCTTAAATGCAATTGAACTGCCAACATCCTTTTTATTGCCAGAATGTCACTTGTATATTGATAGTTCTATTCACGTTTTGTTCGAAACGATGTTTTACACCCTATAAAATACAGTTGAAAGTACGAAAACGGAACCAGTTTATTTGAGAGACGGCCTTACATACAATATTATTCCCATATTAACTAAGGTCTTTGTTTGGTATATTTTGAACTGGACTTTAATATTAATCTCATATCGATATGTAGTGACATGGCTCCCATTATTCGATTTATTCACACATATACTGTACATCCAGCAAAGTATGGCCAACCAGCATATTAGACATCATAAAAGTTTATCGCCAGCAAACTTGGACTCCAAAAACCGAAAGTATAAATAAAATACGTTACGTATATTTTCATCGGTCTGACTACGGTTGACAGGAAACGAAAATATGGCAATCAAAATGAGTATCAGAAGGAAAATGCTCAATGTTTCTTTGGTCACTCCGATGCAAATTCAAATACAATATCTGCCATCATCAATATAACTATTGTTATTATTTTTATTCTTATTATTCTTTTCTTCGTTGAATTGCCTCAATGGTTTGTTTGTTTTTTTTTGGGTTTGTTCTTTAAAGGTAGAAATTTTTTATTGTAGAAGCAGCAACGGCCTTTCCTTTGCCAAGTAAATCATGAGTTTCAAAACCCCATTTTGATAAATGGATCCAATTTGCTTCATAATCGTCTCAATACCTGGCGAATAACTTTGATTTGTTGTGACTTTATCTTCTTAATTAAGGTTCTCGTACCGTGGAATTGGCCATTACAATTATGACATTTAGCAATAAAGCCAATTAATATTCCAAAAAGAATTCGTTTGTGTAAGTATGCGTTTTTTGTAGATGAAAATTGTTAGATTGTTTGTTTTAAACAAACGTGTTATTTATATGGCCCCAGTTATTTGACAATAGTTTTTGTGTTGCGGTTGATTTTCGTGAATTGATATTATTTCTATAGTAACTATTCGTTTATTTGTCGTATTCATTACAACAAAGCACAAATTTCTGCGCATCAATTATCATTGGTGACACTCTGCATACAATAACGCGCCAATAGCTAAAACGCCATCGACAATCAGTATCTAGAATATCGTTTGTGTCTTTGTCATGGAAGACTTCAATCGAAAAATCTTATCTGAAAATGTGTTTGACAATGCAAATAAGATCATGGGTAAACATTGGGTCTTTCAACAATAATGACCCCAACCACACAGATAAAGCAACAAAGGAGCTTCTTGCATGGCAGTGTCCAAGATTGGCCCTTCAAATAGACCAGCGATCGAGTCATTTCACGTGACACATTGTCGATGAAATTTATGGCATGATTACCAGGCCGTGTGAAATTGATTTACGTATTTAAACTTTTTTTTTCTTACTATTACCGTTACCAGTTTTCTCTTGAAGATGTTTCGTGCACGTACTTCAGACGCTATTTGGTGGGCAAGGATTTTGGATAGATTTGACGAATTTTTACATAATTATCAAAAATTATCAAAAAGGCCGTTATCAGAAAGCAGGTGGGTATGGATGTATTACCTTGTTACTTAAGTACCAGCTAATGTAGACTTTGTATGGAATGCAGTTTGCCTTTGCAAATTGGCTCGAAAATAACGATCAAAGATTATAACACTTTTCTTAACAATCGCGGGTCAGCTGGATACAAGTTCCAGTTCGAGTTAAACAATGACAATAAAACTGGTAGCGTATATATAATTGGTATGACCTCACCCGTACATGAGGGTGTTGTTAGCCGGCTTCAAGATTTTTTCAAGGTTCCCAACGGTGGAGTTGTTGACGATCCTCCCATAGTAGTCTTTGGACAACTTCGTAAGAGAATCTGTTCTAGTTTGCTTCTTGTTATTGAATTTTCAATATTCTTATAGTCTTTTCATACAGTACACTATGATCCTGGTGGAAGTGGAGTTCCTGATGTTGCTGCATACCCGGATATAGCATTCATTCCAAGACCTTCCACTTCCACCATAATACCTCGTCCTCCCATGTATGTTGAGTTTGATGTGTATTATTGTATTCGTTTATTCATTATTATGGTTTATGTAGGGAAATCCTCATGCACGGATAATATGTGTGGTAGCTGTGGGCCAAAGTGTTGGTCGTTTGGGACAAAAGTGCTTGACTTGGATGCAAGAACAATACCCGTGCTGTCATTGGTATCAAGATTTTAGATCCAAGACCAAATATTCGAGAACTTGGAACTGGATATTTCTATAGAACAATGACGGTAAATCTTACTCTTATTTAATGATTCCAATTTAAGCATTGCATACTTTCATATCTGATTAGTCTATTTTTTGAATGTTAGGCAAAACTTTACCGTCAAGGAATGACAGTACAATGGGATTTTGGAAATGCTAAAAAATATTCAAGGGATCCTGTCAACGATCCTGCTGGTTGCAACGCGCCAAACTTGCCAGCTTTTCAGATCACAATTCCTATAAGTGATGTATTTTGGGATCCACCATTTCCTATCCCACCTGCATATGTTCCAGTGATCCCTGCAGACATAATTGGTAGCAATTTTATTATTGACTTATACCGGATCCAGTGAATTGTTTTAAAAGCTAAAGTGTAACGAGTTAAATAGCTGTGATCACGCGAGACACTGAGATTCAACTCATGGTTTATTCTATAAATTCAAATTAATTAATTTACAAAGTTTACTCCTGTATTGCTAAAGTAGTACATTGCAAAAGTGAAATAGGATTGTCTGGTTTCCTCAAATATAGTATAAATTTGATACAAAGTCTATGAAAGACATGTCCACATTCGCGTATGGTAAGCGACGATCAAGCATGAAATACCCTCATTATTACGCGTCAATCGGTGATTATTTAGATCTGATTGCTTTATTAATATACATGTGAAGCGGGAAGCCATGTATCCAGTAATTTTTCTTGTACGCAACGCCTCTTGTTTTCGAGTTCACATGCGGTTACTCTATCTTTCAATAATCCTACAACTATACTGATTACCTATTTTATATCTTTCCTCAGATTTCCTTTAAGTGCTTTTTTATTTGATATTCACTATTGCTTGTACAAAATTCCTTCGGAAGTGGAAGTGAACATGATAAAATGCCAATCCGCACCTAAAATAAATCCGATAATTAGCATAGCTATACTACCTTCGGCAAAAAAAAAATCCAGTATATGTGCGTACGTAACATCATAATGGAAAATTTTCACATACCTGTTGACACAATCCATATAGATGGTCGTAATCCTCGTTCTTGAATGCCTCATCAGCCGTTCGCTTCTTCTTATTCATATGGAACAAACTTTCAAGTTGTTTAATATCCTGTAAATATTAATATCCTATCTTAACATTTCGTGGTTTTCCCTCGGTAATGTACAAAAGATCTTCCATTTCCGTTATTGCGTAATCCACCCGACCGGAGGCTTCTTCGCCTGAAACATCTATCTGCAACTCAACATTGATTTCTTTATTTGTTAACCTTCTTGTGATTGCGATCGATGCATGCAAGATTGATGAAATAAATTCGCAACGCGTCGCCTCATTGGCATCGGCCATTGATTTTACGTTCGTTAACCGTAGTAATATTCATTCATACACTGTTCGAGGGCCTTGTCATTGTCATAAATTTCCTCGAATACTATACAATGAAAAAAGATAAATTATATGATTGAAATTTGCGGGACCGGCGGTTTCGGAAAAATATACCCATCGAAATACTACATACCCGGATTAAATTGTTTGATGCTCGTAATATCCTCACCATTGACCTTGTATTTGGGAGCACGTCCTTTAACTCTTCCAACGTTTTGTATGACGAGAAGCTTCGTATCTTTTGTTCCTGAATTTCTTCGGCAAAATCTGCGAGACGTTTTGCTTGGGCCCCCTTCAAACCATAACTACGAAATTCTTCTTTGGTTGTCTCAAGAAAGTCACAACCAAAAATCTTCTCCTTACGCAAAATATTGGAATGAGAATCATTAAGATCTAAGTCCTCCTGCCTCCGCAAATAGTCGATAAGATGTTCCGTCTTATATTTCCTTATTACATCTGCCATCGTGCGAGTTGACCTTTCTTCCGTCAAAATAGAGGATGTAGAAACTGGCGATGAAGGTGAAGAACCGTATGAAGACATGGTGCTACTTTTATATTTCACAAAATCTTGTATCTCACTAAGTAAAGCTAGGTAATGCACATGTTGCATGAAGTTCCTGTAGTATTAATGGGGATACAACAAATATGATCTTGCAACAGCTAACATTGAACTTAATCGTGTTTCATATCAGCTGACTGGGAGGCGCGCAGTACGCGAGACAAATTAACAATAGGCGATTAATCTTTCGCGTAGGCGTGTTCTTCGCGCTTCTCCACTCCCGAACTTTGAATCATTCGTGATTCCAAATAAGGGTACCCACAATAAAATAACAACAATTATTCTACTGCGGGAATAAATATTAAACAGGGCTACCTTCGATTTGGTATTTTGACTAGTCAAATTCTGTCACTTGTCTCAAACTAATTAAACAATATTCGTTTAAATAACTCTCGTTCCTCAATTAAGAGTACTAGATCGACGGATAAATATACAGCTTGAGTGAGCCATTTGTTAATGTCCGGTTAACTAATTAATATCGCAACAATGAAAGAAAGTAAAATTTCGATTTCAAAGGGAATCGTTTATCTGAAAATAATATGAATAAAACTAAACAACATGAACAACAGTAACAACATGAGAATTTGTAAGGGCTTGCTTATATAAACTAGCGATTACCAAAAATCGAAGAACCAATAGATTCTAGTGGCGCTGGTGTCGCTCGTACCACTATTTTAAAATTAATTGGGATCTGCATGACTGCGGAGGGAGATTTTACCATGTGACTTACTTATCTGATTTGTGAATAAGTAATTCAGTCTTTGGCAAGAAGTAAGTATAAGAGGATTTTTGATGTTCACTGCCAATCAAGGCAAAGAGAGTTAAAACATGATGAGCTTTTTCATGCAATTGTGGGCCAAATTGTGTGAATCATATTGTCGAGGTTGTGAAAAGATTGAGTGCAAGCGGGATTAAACAAAACTCAATGTTATGGCAATGGAAAAGGCTTCCAATCTTTAGTATTAGATATTAACACTACATTGAAAGTTTTTATTTTCTTTAAATTTTTACAAAAATATCAGCATTTTCTTTTTGAAGCATCAAAGTCGTTGTGTCTTTAGTCATGTCGAATTTCAGTGAAGTTTTAATAAAATCAATCTTATTTTTATGGTTGGACTTAGATACAAAATATTAAGGACATTTATATTTGATGTTTCATATCCAAATTAGAGAACTTTTTGAACTATTAATAACTATTACATTTCGTTTGGGGCAGACTGCAACAAAACCAGACAATGACCATGTGCACTGAAAATAGCTGGCGTGGCTGGAAAATCGACTAATTTAGCAGATGACATCTTGGTAAGGCTTTGCCCAATTTATATCGGTGGCTCATGCAGACTATTTTTTTTAGTAATACAGTTAACTCTGGCTATACCGGCGCGAGTGGTTCGTTATAATGCTGTACAGGTCAAACCTGTTTAAACCGGCGCTGATTAAACCGGTCTCGGGTTTAACCGGCCGCCTCAAGACTACACCAAACTTTCATTAATTAGAAACTTTCTCTAGTTGAACAATTTTTTGAACCGGTCCTTAGCTAAACCGGCCAAGAATCGGCAAACCAGGTCCGCCGGTTTAAACAGGTTTGACCTGTAATTAGAGACCGGTATATAGAATTGTTACACGTAGGAAAATTGTGTACCCACATGATTTGTGTGAAGGTTTATTATTATTATTATACCATTTTTATTTCATATAATTTATCTTTTCTTTTCTATATCACGCAGTAATCACCGCATTAGCAATAGATCATCTCTACTGACTTTTACATTATCGTCACGTTTTTGTTCTAAAAACATCAGCGTGGTCTGAATTGCAGAGTGAGCTTCCCTGTATGAAATGCTTTTCTTCATTATTAGCACAAGCACTATCTGACGATTCATAATCGCCTTGAAAAACTAAATTGATTATCTCTTGATCGCTTACTAAGTCTTCAATCGGCAGAAATTCTCTTGCGTCTCATAATGATAGTTAAGAGAATTGGTTGAGTTATGGTTACATTTATCAATATATACAAATAATCACTTGACTTCGCCGGTATAAAGTAAAGCTTTTTATATAACACAAAGTATAAAATTTTGTGTAACTTGCGACGGAGCCGTTATAAACAGAGTTATTAAGATTCAGCCGTTATAAGGGATAATATTAATATACAATTTTTTGGTGCAGCAAAATTGACCCGGTATAAGGCGAAACCGGTATAGAGTTGACTGTATGTAAGTGAGTGTAACTAGCACCCATGTTTTCAGCCTACTATAACTACTACGGTCCCCCATAAATGACCACAAATTTTTGTCAAATTCGCACGCATGTAACGAAAAATTTTACTAATGCGACTTGCTCGCAATATCATTTTACATATATTTTTGTAACTTTTATTGATTAATGTTCATTTTCTCTGTTTAATGAGAAACGACTTAAGTCGATTTTTTCTTCAACTTTTCTGTTCCAGATGTGGTCATGCTCCAGGTAAAGTGTGTTGTGCTTTTTGTAATAACATGTGTCTGTTCAACCTTAGCGAAAAGATCGTGCTGTCCCTCGGTCGTTAGTGTTCTGCCGTTTCTCTTTTTCCGACGCAATTTACCTCTAATTTGGCCCAGGTATAGACATTATTACATAAGGCTTTTTGGACGGCGAAAGTGGAGCACGTGGAATCTGATCACCAGGGGGAATCAGTAACATGACTGTCTGTGACGCGTACTTTATCAGCACCTCTTCTGGTTACGCGCTCGCAGTTTGAACGTATTTCGAGCAAAGTTCTTCACGTGTCTCAGTAATATCATGACGAGTTCGAATCCATTTTTTCACGGTAGCGATGGTAAGCAAAGCATCGATGCGTACTAAGCCATCGTTTTTTGAATAGCTCTGGATGTCTATTTCGCTGAATCCCCCCCAAATACTTGGTCGTATACCGACTTTCTCCTCGCGAATAGGAACGCCATCGTCAACTCATCGCCCTATACGGACGACTGGAGAGGACTAGACGGTGCATGGGTTAAACGTTTTCTAAAAAAGGTTGAGCAATTTGCGTCGAAGGAAGAATATGAGCAGGTAAATATTCCAACTTTAGGTGTGGAAGGGCACCTCCTGACAGGTATTACCTGAATCCGGAGTATATGTAATTTCATAGCCCGAGTGGTGGTAGTTGGACGCTCCTGACAGATATTACCTGAATCCGGAGTATAGGTAATTTCCCGGTCCACACCATTCGCGACCCGCCGCTCTACTTAAATTTGTCAGGGATTTTAGCTCGATATATTTCTATATGATTGCTGGACTAACTAACTACTTATATTGTTTGTCATGTAATATGAGATCAAGGCGAAGCTCGGCGACAACCGCCGCCTATTTTGGGAGCCGATTATCACTGAACGCAAGCAGGTCAGTAGCATAATAACAATATTAATCAAAGAGTTAGTCTATTGAATATTGCATTTGAAATTATCACAACAGATTATCGTCAAGAACTTGTATGAATACGAGAGTTTGAATTTGCTTGAAATATCGGGAAATGTGAGTTCAAAAAAACTTGGGCATAAACTTGCATCAGAACTCCCCACTATCATCGACAGTAAGCAACAAGTTCTGAACATTATGGAAGAAGGTAAGAAGAATTTTCTTTGTCACTGCTTGTTCAACTGCCTGATTCTATAATATTTGCACATAGATGATACCCAAACACCTTCCCACCTCGTTGAAGTTAATCAACTGAGGGTATTCTTAAAGCTGCTGCTGAGAGTCTGACATGCCTCAATGACATTAAGGTATTTCTTTGAAGACATTGCTCAAATTGTCTATTACATGCATGTTAAATACTCAATGTTTCAAACTCAAGTATTTCCAAGAGTTTATCCCACTTTTTGAACAATACAAAGAACAACAGAAATCCAATATGTATTCATAAGTATTGAATCTGTGATTTTAGAAGATATGCACCTTTATTGCTATTATCCTGAGCTGACATGTTCTCAATGTATAGTTGTACCAATGATGATGTTATGGATATCCAAGGTGACAGTGGTTTTGCAAGATTTTTGACAGTCAACCAATATACAAAAGTACTTTCTGTATGACCAAAAGGAAGGCTGTAATACCAAAATGTTGGCATGAAGTTGTAGAGGAATATTTTATGGCAAGCCTGCAACACATATTGTGTGTTAATGATTGAAATGATTATTTATTGATATGATCATGTTTGTAATTGCAGGATTCAACAACCAAAGACAGGCAAAAGAGAACCCTTACTGATTGGATTCATGTAACTAATTCACTAGTGGAAGTCAAGGATGGAGATACAGAGGATGTAACAAGGTTGAAAAGTTACCTGTATTAGTAACTTTGTCGTGCCTAAAAAAATCAGCAGTCTTGTGACTTAAAGCCACATTAGCCACAGCAGACTATTGGATAATAAGTTTTTCATAGCACAAGTTAATGGCAGTCTAAAATTATTGGACGATGAATTTGACTAAACTTAATAAGGAAGCTGACAAAAATAGAACTTCGTAACAAATTTTGATCTATTACATATATGGTCAAAAATATTGGTATGTTTCCTGATAAAGGCTCCCTGCTCTAATAAGGAAATTAGTTAGGGGTAAATAAGGCCCTATTCATTTCATGTTCCCATTTTTTTGTTCCCACTTCCATTTTTAGGCAGGAACAGGAAATGAAATGAATATGCCAATTTTCCCTTACTTTGTTCCTGTAACTAAATGCGTAGATGATCTGCAACTAACATTTTTCCATGTGTATTTTGTGTTCACATTCGTTTCCTTTTTTGATGAGGAACAAAATGGACACAAGTCCGATGTTGTGTCCATTTTGTTCCCACTTTTCATTACCTAAATTAGAAATGCAACCCAAATTTGGAAGGTGAAAAAAATCGGAACAGAAACAGGAACATGAAATGAATAGGACCTAATTTTTGATAGACTTATAGTAAAAATGAATTGTAAGCATTAATTTCAATTGAATTTTGTATAAATAAAATACTCTATTTCCCCTTCGAAGGCCTACACCTTGGCATTTTCCATGCCAACCTTCATTCCTTAGCAGATTGAACCCATATTTCAATGACATTACTCAAACAAGTCCATCTCCACAAAGAGAACTGTAAAGAAAAGTGCTTTGAAGTAATTAAGCATTAAGTGAGCCAAGCATGATGGTAATTAGAAAGAAAAGCTGCAAATAAAGTTCCAAGTTAAAGTATTAAAATTTAGTATATCATAATCAGTCACTGAACATTTCAATTGACTTGCAATTTTGATAATATGAGATCTTTATTGACAACTACAGAAAATTGCTAAAGCTGTTTTTAGACAGCAGTACATAGACAGAAATTGACTTGCAATTTTGTATAATCAATAATGTTACACAAAATAATTATTTGTTTTGATCTTGACATGGACTTTCTTCTTGATAATGTTACAGCCCATTTCAAGATGAGACAATTGCAAAAAAATTTTTCATCACAGTAACACATACAGATAGCTTGCAGATCTGTATGCTTTTCAGCAAAGTTCGGTTTCAGTTTGACTAAGATGCACAATAATATGCTTACTATTATCAAAAGTACTTTCAATAGACATGTGCCAGTGCTTGGTGAGATACATTCTAACTCAATTGCTTCGTATACAATTGTACTGTTTAAGTTGATCGAATGATATCTATGTCAACCAATAAAATTGTAAAAATGCCAAAACTGGTATAATCCCTGAAAATGTGTACGATCAACCAGTCATAAATCGTTCGAGCCATATTGAGTATCAAAAATTGTAAATCATACGATTTATAGCTGAAAGTATCGAAGAATAAATTGTTCGACAATCGTAAGATTAAGTATAACAGGTCGTTAAGTCGTATGATTGGCCATATTAAGTATGCAATACAGAATCGTAAGTCATACGATTCATAGCCCTGCTTTTGGCCTACCGGAAAATAATCGTATGAAAATCGTAAGATTAGTCGACTTGATATACCAGGCCCCGACAGGCGAAGATTAGGAAGAAGGTTATTACCATGTAAGGTGATGGAGGTTTTAGATGGAGGTTGGTATAAGTTGGGTTGCAGTGTCGGCATACTTGATACGCATTATCAGGCAACTGACTTGGAAGGCATCCAAGCGGAATTTAGTGAACTGGCAGACATTCCGCAAACAACCATTTCATTAAC